ACACACACACACACACACACACACACACACACACACACACACACACACACACACACACCTGTATTCCCTGCTCTCCCAATGTACCAGTTGTTAATAGTCCAGGAGAAAGCTAGCAGGCAGGCATCATACCCCTGGTAAAGCCAGGTGGGATTGATGGAGTTGCTGTTCTTTCTTGTATCAGGTGCTACTGCACAGAGCATCAGCCCTCAGGCTGTGTGGCAGTTGGGCAATGTGTTCGAGTGCAACATTCCCAGGAGTGGTACAGTCTTAGAGTACAGATTCTATGGCTGCTACTGTGGTTTGGTGAGATTCGGCGATCCAGATGAAGACTTAGACAGGTGAGTGATCCACTAGGTGGGACACTGGAGTGTCTGCTGTGGTGGGGGGACAGGACACAAGCAGAGCATCTCACGAGGCATGAATAGGAGACATGCATATTCTGCAAACATCGTATATGTTGTGTTGTTTATTATTATTTATTTTTCTTTCTTTGTTTTTTGTTTCCATAAAGAGGTTCTCTGTGTAGCCCTAGTTGTCCTTGAACTCTCTCTAGAGCCCATGCCGACTTTGAACTCAGGGATCATCCAGCCTCTGCCTCCTGAGTGCTGAGATTAAAGGTGGACATCGTCACCCACAGCATGTATTTCCTCTCCTGTCATGCAAAGAAATCAGTCCAAGAGGACCCTGTATCTAGTGTCCCTGAAAGCAGAATGTGTGAGGTGTAAATAGTGGGCAATGCTGCCCTCAGTTGGCAGACTAGGGTACTGGCAACCATCACATCTCCCATCAAAGTGTCAGCCTTGGCTTTAAAAGTCATCAATAGTCCAGAATGTATAATTTCATTGTATTCCTGCAGTTTTGTTCAAAAATCACTGTTTTTGGAGACAGGGTCTCACTTATATATCTTGGCTGATCTCAAACTCAGAGATCCATCTGCCTCTGCCCCCCAAAGTACTGGGAAATGGTAGACACCATCACACTTCACAGAAGTTGCTTTCAATAAATATATGCTTAATGGAAATTGCAGATTCTTGAGCCTCAGGACCATTTCTTCTGGAACATCATGTTAAGTCATCCTCACATATTTGAGAAAGACTGCAAGTGAGAACTGACCTACTACTGTAGGTCCATACTCCATCCTAAGCTGTTCATTTCTCTCTCCAGTTGCTGCAGGACTCGTGACAACTGCCTTGCTCAGGTCGATAACCTGGAAAACTGTGCAGTCCTCATAAGGAACCCCTACACCAGCTCCTACTTATTCTCATGTTCTGGGAATGAGGTCACCTGCAGTGGTAGGTTTACCCTATGGGAACTTCTGAATTCTGCTTACTCCTGGGCATCTTTGCAAGGGGCAGAAGTAACAAGGACAGTGACCACATAGCAGTCATTTACTTGGTCCCATTGGACATCACAACAACCTTATCAGGTAGATACTAAAAAATGGATGAGGTCTGATGAGTTAATCTGATTGATCTTTTTCAATAAAAAAGAAGAGTCACAAATTGGGGTAAGAACCAGAAGATCAGTGAACAGGGAACAGCCGCCAGCTTTTTCCTACCTCTTCTGTTCCTCCTTCCAAAAGGCTTAGATTCTCTCTCAGCCATGCCTTGCCACTTCCTGTTTCTGTTCTGTTTAGAGTCCTCCAAACTTCTCTGTTTAGCTAGTGGCTAGCTCTGCCCTCTGACTCCAAGCAAGTTTTATTTGTTAGAACACAATCAAAATATCACATGACATTTCCTTCTTTTTGTCTAAACAAAAAGGAAAGGTTTTTTTTTTAAACTAACAGTAAAACTATATACAGTAAGCACACTAATTATATACAAATATATACAGGCAAGAATTACATTAACCATGTCCAGCCCATTTGCTTTTGCCTAATTGAGAGAAAATACTCCATTTTCTATCCTATCTTGGTGAGTTCAAAGTGTCGTACCTAATTAATTTTCTACCTTAACTTGCATTACCAACCCCAAACTATCTTTTTATGTCTCTCCACCTTACACACTTTACATCTCTTTTGTGAGGTGAATTTGTTAGCAAGGAAAACTATAACTATAACTATCCAGTCTTCCACTCCATCAGAGACCTGAGAAGGAAATATTACCTGAGTAAGCAGGAAGTGTAGAGCAAACAGCTAAGAAATGACAGAAACAGTCCCCCAAGGTTCCTCTGTAACCTTGGGATGTCCATCTTCAGGCTACAGGCCTAGAATATCTGACAGACATTTCTGTGAAACAGGACTTTTAAAGGGCTGTCCTACCTTGTCTTTGCAAATGTTGGCAGTCACTTTCTTTTGTGTCCTGCTTGTCCAATTTGGACAGCATACTGTCAGCAGTTGAGGCAAAGGCAGCTTTGGGCCTAGTGGCTAAGCTTTGTCATGAAGAAAGCAAACTCCATATGAAGTTTCTTCGATGCCCATCATCTTCTCTGAAGTAGATTGGTCCTGCCAGGAGCAGACATGTCTCATTGTCTCTTAAAAAATTATGTTATTGAAACATCTTAAATGCCATATTCAGTATCTCTGAAGTGTTTGAAGACCATCTGTCTATCTAAAATATATCTCTGTTTGAATTCAAAACATACTTAACATGACTACAAGTTTGATTGTAATAGAGGGCTAATTACTAACCTGTATTTCTTTATTATCCTAAAGAGTTTGTAATAATGACTTTCAAGGACTAGATGTTTACATTACATGGTTAAATGAACTGTGTAGGTATAATACCTTGAACAGGAATAGAAAGCTATGTACAACGTACAATAACAAAAATAACCTTAAATTTATATCAATATAAAAAAATCCACATCAATGTCAAATATTTAAGGCTAGTAGTTGCTTTTTTTGGTTTAAAAGTAGACTCAATATCTACATTTTTATTATATCATTTCTATATCCCATTTTCTTTTCAGCACAAGATCACTGAATCTAATCTCCTTTGTTCAGCTTTTTTCCTGACCATTACCAATAACAACTTGTGACCAACCCCCTAAATGATGACAAATATCCATAACCACCTGTCCCATCTCTTGGGAATGTTGGTGTCATGTTCTTAAAATTGCTTCCTATTTTCTGAGGATAATGGCATCTTTAGGGGAGCCTAAAAATTGGGATAATTGTCAAGTCCTGGGAGAGCTAGCTGTATCATTTGTTGTCCAGTCTCTGTAAAATGGGAATATGCAGGGCTTGTCTCAAGTCCTAGCTAGAGTAGTCTGTGAGGCTAGACCATCTCACTCACCACCTTGAAATTATCCTGAGCAGTTTGTAGTCCAAAGCTAATCTTTGGGTGGTTTTTGTCAGCTTAGTGGTGTTATCACAATCCAGGTGGAATTGTCATTGTGGGAACCCATGCTCCTTTTGGAGACTTCAAAGGTCACTGTTAGGCATGGTTATGGTTCACTGAAGAAAACTTAAACATTTTGAATGTCATATGTAGCAGGCCTCAAAGAGTTTAAAGGACCATAATTTCTTATGTATATCCAGAGTACAAAAACTTACTACCTAGCTACATGATAGAGACTCAAAGCTGAAATCATGTACAGGAAACTTGCTGAAGCCTTTTTCTAGAATTAGTACTGTATATGACCATTAGTATCATGATAAAAAGTTTAATATATTTATTAATTGTATAAAGTTTAAGATAATATTTATACCTTAAGAAAATATTTAAAATAAAACCAAAGAATTATGAGATTAGCGGCAATAAACTAGTCCCTTAAGTTTGCTATTTCTTCTGTCCAATATCAAGTGACTCTTCTGACATGAGACAGAGATTTTGGATTTTCCTTTTAACAAGCATGCTTGGGTTTAGAGAAGGAGAGAGCCATGTTCCAATTCCAAAGCCAGCTTGAATTTTTAATTGAACTGGGACTTAAAAAGGACTATTTGCATTATATGACTGTAGAGAACAGCAGAAACAAACACGTGAACATTTATAAAACTTTATCCTGTTGCAAATGTGAAATACCATCAGGCCAATTTACTCTTTTTCTTGGGACATTTCCTCTGGATGATTTATCCTCTTTTTTCAGATGCTTCCTTTGTCCAGTGGTCTTCAGAATCCTTAGCTGAATGCCTTCATGCTCCTGGAAAGAAAAAAAAAATAAAACCCAGCCCCAGCCCTAACTTTGGGGGTTTCCCTTTTCACAAGTTATATCAGATCAAATGAAAAGCATTTGTTAGTCTTATAAGTTAGTTTAGATTGAATGGTCACACTGTTTGATGAGCTATAGCCTCTTCTAATCAAGAAGTCTCTTTTGTTCAAATATAATCTTTATCAATTTTGATGGTATCCCTAGTTTTTATTCTCCCATGGAAACAAAAGCAAAGCCTCTTCCCAACATAACACATATCCTGGTTTCATTCTGAGGTTAACACTTCTTTATAGTGTACAGGATGGTTTAATTCAGCAGTTTTCCCCTACTATCCAATGTCTGTCCACAGCTGTCATTCCATTCTCATTAACATTTAGAAAATTTAATGTTAATAAAGCATTTTGCAATCTATTTCTGTAGGTCTTTTTTACTGCTTTCTTTTTATTAAGCATATCTTTTAGAGTTCAATTAGGTCCTTCTATAACTGCTTGCCCTGTAGGATTGTGTGGTATACCTGTAATATGTTTTATGTTGTCATATGCGGAAAAACTGTTTCATTTTACTAGAGACATATGCTGGAGCATTGTCAGTCTTAATTTGTACAGGTATTACCATGATGGCCATAACTTCTAACAAATGAGTGATCACAGAATCAGCTTTTTCAGAACTCAAAGCAGTTGACCTTTGAAATCCTGAATATATATCTATGATATTATGTACATATTTTAATTTTCCAAACTGTCCAAAATGAAATACATCCATTTGCCAATTTCCATTTCTTTGTGTACCCCTTTGGTTAGTTCTTGCAGATAGTAGAGTTTGGTAATAAAAAAATAGTAGGACATTTCACTATGATGTCCATGACTTGTTGCCAAGTGATGGAAAAAATCTTTTTCAAACCCTTGCTATTGACATGGTATTTCTTATGAAATTCTGAGGCTTGTAGCACATTTACTACCAATTGTTGATCAACTTCATCATTATCTTGTGCTAGGGGGCCTGGTGGACCAGTATAGGATATGATATGTATTATATATAAGGATGGTTTCTATTTCTGCTTATTTCTTGTAACTGAATAAAAAACAATGTCAGTTCTGAATCATCTGGAATAAATTTAGCAATTTCAATATATAAAACAACTCTTTCTGCATATTGAGAGTTAGTAACTATAGAAATAACCAACCATCTTATTAAATAAGAAACACAGAGCCAATACAGAGATAAAAGCCAAGAGGTCAGAGCAATAGCTAAGAGCAAAAAACCTTACTCTTCACTATCTCGGTGATCCTACCTCTCCGAAAAAGACCCACTTCCTGTGTGTCTGTCTTTATAAAGACTTTCTGTTCTGCCTTCTCATTGGTTGTAAACCTAACCACATGACCTCCTCATCACTGCCTGTCTGTACAGACCTCCAGGTCTTCTATGGTTGCTACTGAGTTTAAAGGCATGTCTTCATGCTGGCTGTATCCTTGAACACACAGAGATCTACCTAGCTCTGCCTACCAAGTGCTGGGAGTAAAGGTGTGCACCACCACCGCCCAGCTTTTGTGATGGCTTGCTATTAGCTCTGACTCCCAGGCAACTTTATTTATTAACATACAAATAAAATCACGTTTCAGTACAAATAAAATATCACCATATTTCCCCTTTTCTATTTTAATAAAAAGAAAAAAGGAAAAAGGTTATGACTAACATAAGAAAAACTATATACAAAAGTACAATAATGCCGGGTGGTGGT